CTGCGCCCGCCCGCTCAACTGGATGCTGCTGCCCATCGCGGCGGCGCTGCTCGTGCTGCTGCCGGGGCTGGCGCCGCGCAGCGAGGCGCTGCTCCTCTACGCGCTCACCGCGCTGCTCACCCTGGCGCACGTCCACTACGGGGTCGTCGTGGTACGTACGGGCGCGGGGGCCGGGACGGGGCTGCGGATACTTGGGCTGAACCCCGGGAAGCTCCGTGTCCACATGAGGAAGAACTTCCTTGGTGTGAGGGTGCCGGAGCCCTGGCACAGGCTGCCCAGAGAGGCTGTGGAGGCTCCTTCTCTGGAGATGTCCAACCCGCCTGGATGCCCCCTGTGCCCCGTGCTCTGGGTGTCCCTGCTGGAGCAGGGGTTGGGCTGGGTGATCCCTAGAGGTCCCTTCCAACCTCAGCCATTCTGGGATCTGCACTGGCATCTGCCACATGGGCTGTGACATTTGGACCTGGGCACCCCAAAGGCTCCAGGAGGTACCTGGAGCAGGACATGAGCTGCGAGGGGGAGAACCAAGGTCGCGTTCGCTCAGTGCAGGTGCTACCCTGAGCTGTGATGAGCAGCGCACAGGGAGGCAGCTCTGAGGATTCCCGTTGGGAATTCCCAAGGACAGTGCTGAGAGAACGGGGCGAGCGGCCCTGTGTTCTCTGCACGGGCCCTGTCCTTGGAAAGCCCTGTCCCCCAGGAACACCAGGGCTGACGTGGAGTTAAGCCCGAGCCTACTTAGAGTAAGGAAGCAAATCCCAGCTTGCCTTGTCTCTCCTGTGACTGTAATGAGACTTCTATGCAAGAAGGATTTGAATGACTAAGTAGCTTAAATAAATGTGGTCCCAGGATCATAGCTGGAGACAGGGACCGATGAGGAGGTGTAATCCCATCCAGCCGAGCTTGCCCAAGCCCTGCAGTGAGTTTCTCAGTGCTCTGCTCAGCTGGGTTACCACGTTTCCCTCCTCTACCCGCTCTAGGCCCATCTCCAGTCTCCTCAGTCCCGCTGTGACCCGTACGTCCCTCCGCCCGCGTCCCCTCTGCTGCTTGTCCTGCTGCTCTGTCAGTCCGTGCTTGTTGCTAATTCAACCTAACGCGGGAAGAGAGAGGCCAAATACCTGCAGCAGGGAGACCTTTTTCCCCCGTAAGCTGGAAGTCTCCAGGCTGGGGGAGCCCTCCCGCAACCAGCACAGCGGTCCCGTCCTCCTCCTCCTCGTGGGCTGTTCTGCTGCCCCTCACGCTCCGTGTGGTCCAGGTGCCTCCATGGAGCACGTGGGACCGAGTCCCTTCTGGGCAAGCCCAGGAGTTTGGGACCCTGAGAAAGAAAAACACGATGCTCATGAGTTGGGGACAGCGATGAGAAGAGGCGGCGGGGCCTTGTCATCGTGGCAAGGACCTGCTCCTGCTTTCCTTGCTATCCCTGTGGTCCTCCCTGACTCCGTTTTCTTGTCCCCCTTGTCCCCAGGTGAGCCAGCTCAGCCGGCACTTCAACATTCGGCCTTTCTCGCTAAAGAAGCCCACGGCAGATTGACTAGGAGCGGAGGAGGAGAAAATCAGCTTGCAGTCTGCAGAAGTACTGTAAATAACTGCTGCAAACACCTGTACATACTTCAGCCATCACCACGGATCGAAACCTCTCCTCGGGGCAGACGTCGGGGCCGAGCACGCACGGTTTGCAGCGCAGCCCGGGCAGGGTCGGTGCTGCGCGGCCTCCAGCCTGCGGTTATTTGGTGAACCTGGACGAGGAGGGTCGCCTTTCGGGTCTCTACTACTGTATATTAGACCAGCTGAATGTTCCCAGTGAAACCTCAGATTCCAGCTCTTGCTCGGATAAAGCCGCTCGGGACGCGGGTGGCTTTACCTGAGCAAAGCGCCTCGAGCTGTCGCCCAAAGCTCCCGATTTCTGCAAGGTGACTCGGGAGCATCCTGGCGGGAGCGGGATTCGTCCCCCGCGTCCCTCCTCCTGGGGGACATTCGCTGTCCTGAGCCAGGGCGTCCGGAACCGCTGGGGACGGTCCTCCCGTTGCGTCCTGCCTCCCCCCTCTCGCCTACCCGGGCCAACGCTCGCGACTTACCCATTTCTAGTGGTTTTCCCCTCGCGGGGCTCAGGAACCGGGATGCAGCTTCCACCCTCGGACCACGTCTCCGCACCGTTCTTGTCTGTCCATGCGTGTTCCCTCACCGGCACTTGGGGTCTGTGCCCCAGCTGGAGGGTAGGGCAAAAACATGGCTTGAAACGGGGTCTGCAACTAGAGCCAGACTCCTCCTGCCACCCGCAGGGACCTGGGGCTCAATTAGGCACCACCCAGACCCCTGGTTTGGCCAGGCCTGGGCCACGCGGAGCCCTTCCCGCTGCCGCAGCCCCGAGAAGCTCCGTAGGCAACGCGTGGAGCGAGCGCGCGGCCGCGGCCTCCCAAAGCCACTTCATGTCAGTTCCATTGTCCCCAACGGCTGCACGGCTCATCCAGGGGTGATACTTGTTTACTGTCCGTTTGTAAACATGGCTTGAAAATTGGTTTTATTTTATTTTATTTTATTTTCCGATTGAGTTGAGTGGGGTGGTGAAGACTGAATTTAGATTTTCTTTCCTTTTTTTTTTTGTTTTTTTTTTTTTTTTTGGCTCACTTTAATGAAGATTTGTGCTTGAATGAAGAGTGTAGCTTAAACCCAGGCTCTGGAAAGGCTGCATCCGGAGGCGAACAAGCACACCAGATTGTTCATATGTAATTTACCATGGGAACAAGGTCGCTCGGCGCCAGCGCGGCTGCAGAGGGACCGTGATTAACTATTTGACGCTTTTTTTTTTCCTTTCTTTCTTTTTGTAAATTTGGAATCACTGTCACGCAGGAATCACTTGAAACGCCGGACGCGGCGCGTGGAGCGCGGCTGCTCCCTGCGTTATCCCGTGCGGAATCACAGCCGGTCACGGTACGAGAGCGGGACCGGTGCCGAAATCCCGTCTCGCCCCCGTGTCCCTGCCCCTCCGGCTCTGGAAAAGGGTGTCTGAGAGGGGCACGTGGCTTCATAGTTTATTTAATGAAGTAGCTTATTCTATATATTTTACTGACACTGTACAGGGAAAAAAAGCGCTGCGTGTACAGAGGAATGGGGCTGTGCTTCAATTTGGACTCTCACTAGTTAATGAAGTGTAATTATGAGGGATTTAAATTGCAGTTGCGCAAGAGCTACTGGGACCTTTGGACTGGACCACGGCCGCGGTGCGTGGGCCGTGTCCGCGGAGCAGGGAGCTCGGGGCGCAGCGGGGACTGGACCGGCCCTGCTCTGCGTCCGGGTGTTCTGGGACCAGGAATAACCGCGCTGGGCTCCGGGCTCTCGTCTTGGCCCTCCTCAGCCCCGGGCGGTGCTAACGCTGCGAGACCAGGTCTGAGCATAAACCCTGGGCTGTCCCTTGGGGACCCTGACGCCGTTTGTCTCATCTACCTGCAGGCTGGTGCTCTTTGGTAACATGTAGGAACATGCCTGTAAAAAAGGCCCTTTTTGTTTCTTCCTGCAAGCAAACGCATTAATGTAAACTGGACTGCCTCTCTTAAAACCCCCCGCGAGTATTTGTCAAGCTGCGAGACAGAGACATTTCTTAAAAGCTGGAACCACTTGCTCTCTGCACAGGCTGTATCTTTGGAGAGTCCCGGGTTTCGGTGCCTTAATTTATTGCACCTTCAAGCTAGAAAAAAGATATCTATAAAAATCAGTGCTGGGCTCTAGGGCTGCTCGTGGAGGCGAGAGCGGCCGGGGCCCCGCGCGCGTCCCGCTCCCTTCCTGCTCCAGGGACTCCCGCTGGGGCTGGTTGAAGCTAAATAACTGCTGTTCATGGCTGGGGGAATGGAAATACTTGACCAGAAAGACCAAACGGGTTCTGCCACGATGGGGTGCGGCATGCTGAGGAACAAACTATTTATTGATAATAATGGTTTTAAGTCTTACGAATAAACGTATTCCTTTCTGACTACGGCCGCGTGCGGGGGCTTGTGTCGCGTCCTCCTCTCCGTGCAGGGGCTGCGCTGCAGTTCGCTCCCCTCGGGCTCCAGGGGTGTTTAAGCTCCTCCAATGGAGCCGGCCTGATGCTCCTCGGAGCGCTGGGCACCTGCGGCACCAGGGCCCTTCCACCAGGGAAGTGTCTTGTCCCCTACGAGCGTTTGTTCCCGCACGCGATAAACCCGGAAAGGCTCCTCGAGAGACTTGCTGCTTTTGAAAATAAACATTTTTAATACACATATATATATATACACACACACTATTGCATCCCATGTATATACACACACACACACAATTGCACCCCAGAGAGCAGCTGCTTTGTGTGACCTTAGCCTGTGGCTAAACTAGATATAACCCCATGTATTTCCTGTTATTTTTTAAATCAGTGACAGGGAGGGTCCTGGCTTTCCTCCTGCCTCCCAGGAGCTGCTGCTTTGCCAGGGCACAAGCGCAGAGGCTGCCGCGGGCTCCCGCTGGAGCAAGGGACCTCTAGGGATCACCCAGAGCAACCCCTGCTCCATCAGGGACACCCAGAGCACGGGGCACAGGGGGCATCCAGGCGGGTTGGACATCTCCAGAGAAGGAGCCTCCACAGCCTCTCTGGGCAGCCTGTGCCAGGGCTCGGGCACCCTCACACCAAGGAAGTTCTTCCTCACATGGACATGGAGCTGCCTGGGGTTCAGCTTGTACCCGTTACCCCTTGTCCTGTCACTGGCCACCACTGAGCAGAGCCTGGCCCCATCCTCCCTACATTCTCCCCTCAGGTACCTGTGCCTATTGCTGTGCTTTTGTAGTACAGCAGCTTTTCCCTGCAGAGCCCCCAGCCTCAGGGCTCTCCTGTGATTTTGCTGAGGGTCTCTGGATTCCCATCCTGCCCCTGGTGTCTGCCATGGGCGACAACCTGAACCAGCTCCCGAGGGGCCTCCCGGCACAGACCAGAAGCAGCAGCCCAAGTCGCCTGTCCCAAAGGAGAGAGGGCAACACGAGACTGCTGCCCGGCAGGGAGGTAGGTGAAAGGAAAGGGTAAAAAAGGACCCAGGTAAACGGTGAGGAGTTGGGGAAGCAGCGGATGGGAGTCCTAGCTGGACCAGAGCATCTCCAGGGTCCCCAACACAACCCATCAGGGCTGGAGCAAACACAGGAGCAAAGGATTTGTGAGATGTGGTGCCCACAGCAGGGCAGAGAGATGTCCAGAGCAGCACGTGGGGATGGAGACACCGGGACAGGCAGCAGCTCCGAGGCCACAGCCCTCCAGGAGGAGAGGAGGCCCCAGAATCCACTGCCTCCTCGTGCTCCAGCCCCTGCTCCTTACATCTGCACTAAGGCCTAGGTGTATTTAAACATCTTTATCAGCCGACTTGAGGGCTTCTCCTAAGAGGATTGTGGCGGTAGGTGTAATGTACTTAAGGGATTGTTCATGACAATAGCGCTCCGCTGTCCTCCCCGTGCCCAGGTCCCCGTGCAGATGTTGGCCCAAGCGGCTGGGGAAGCCCCGTGGGATCACGGGATCCCACACGGACGCCCTTCCTGGCCACGTGGCACCTCTGCCTTCCTGTTTTATTGCCTCCGGGAATGCTGCAGAGAGGGAGCCGGGCAATTCACCTGCTGGGTGATCAACGGGTCCTGGTGGGGGAATCAGCACACTCATTATCAGCCAGGGCACATCCCATGCCTTTCCAAGGGTATCTCCCCCTTAAACAACTCCTGCAAGCTCAGGAAGCCTCATCCACCCCCATCCATGGCAGGAAGGGCAGCAGAGGGGCTCTGCGTCCTCGGCTGCTGCTTTGCTCATGGTTTGTGTTGGACTGAGCCCTCGGCCTTTATAACTTGTTCCTTCGCTGCAATTTTCCACCCTCTGCCGCCTTCTCTTGCCGAGGGCCAGAACGTCCTACCCAACTCGCCAACCGGTCCAGAAATCTCCCCCTACTTGTGATTTTTGCTGCATCTGCTCAGGCCTCACAGCTGCAAGGCAAGAGTTGAGTTATCCCAGGTCTCAGCTTGGGATATGGGCTTGGTGAGCTGTGTGCTGGAAAGGTCCGGTCCCAAATCCAGCTCTTGCCACTCTTTGGAATCTGCTTGAACGGTGGGAGATGATGAATCCATCCTGGAGAGGCTTGACCGGAGGCAACTGAGACCTTCTTGCCCTGGTGACACAGAAATGTGGGATAAGAAACCCCTGTGGAGCGGGCAGGACTCCGCACGCCCGCGGCTGTGTTCAGGCTTCCCGGGATCCGGCTGAGGATGACGGAGTCTCGGCTGATCCCACCAGCAGCAGGGGCTGCCCAGGGCCCACGAGCCATCGTGGTGTCTTTGCAGGCTGTGAGCAGCAGCGGGTGGCCCTGCCGCCCCATTTGGGTCTGTCCCCTCCTCTCTGCTCGGTGTCGCCGTCAGTAACTTGAGCGCTTTTCTCCTGCGGAAAGAAACCTAAAAATCTCCTCTCTCACAAGTCAGCAGAAATCAGATTAAAGCAAATAAAATGTCCTGTGAGGCTGAGGGATGGTTATTTTCCCTCCTGCTTTATTCTTGGCTGTCCTGAAACGGTGATTTCTGGGCAGAACAAAAGCTTCGTTTTCCTTGTCCCCTGCGGAGCATCCCAGGTGATTTATCCCCCTGTGTTGCCTCCATTATCCGGTTATTCTCTGCTGCCGTCCTT